AAGCTTTAGCCTACCCGGGTTGGCGTGCTGCTATGGAAGAGGAGATGGCGGCCCTTGACCAGGCTGGCACTTGGACATTAGTGGATCTACCTGCAGGGAAGAAGGCTATTGGGTGTAAGTGGGTCTTGACCCCTAAAACTCGAGCTGATGGTACCCTTGACCGTCTTAAAGCTCGCTTGGTTGCTAAAGGCTATGCTTAGACCTATGGTGTTGATTACTCTGAAACTTTTTCCCCTGTTGCGAAACTTTCCTCCGTTTGCCTTTTCATCTCCATGGCGACAACTTATGGCTGGGATCTCCATCAATTGGATATCAAAAATGCCTTTTTACACGATGATCTCCTTGAAGAAGTCTATATGGAGCAACCACTAGGCTTTGTTGCTCAGGAGGAGCGTGGGAAAGTATGTCGCCTCAAGAGATCCTTATATGGCCTGAAGCAGAGTCCCCGTGCATGGTTTGACAGGTTCATTACTGTTGTGCAGAAATTTGGCTTGTGTCAAAGTAAGTGTGATCACTTTGTGTTCTATCAGAGAACAGACACTGGCATGATTCTGTTGGTTGTAAATGTAGTTGACATTGTGATTACGAGGAGTAATATGTTAGGGATCTCATCACTTAAGTCCTTTCTTAATTCTCACTTCCAAACAAAAGATCTAGGCCCGTTAAAGTACTTTCTTGGAATTGAGGTTTTGAGAAGTAAGAAAGGAATCTTATTGACTCAGAGGAAGTATGTGCTCGACCTGTTGAAGGAAACTGGAAAGTTAGGGGCTGCGCCAAACAGTTTTCCTATGATTTATAATCCACTACTTGATGCTGATGGAAACATACCATTTGAGAATCTCGTTGATGCTGCTAAAAGCAAGCCATTTGAAAATCCAGAGAGGTATCAAAGACTGATTGGAAAATTGAATTATCTTACTGTGACCCGTCCTGATATCACCTATCCAGTCAGTGTACTTAGCCATTTTATGGTCTCACCTACTATCAGACAGTGGGAAGCCTTAGAGCATGTCCTTCATTACTTGAAGCGGTCTCCAGGTCGTGGGATATTATACAAAAATCATGGTCATATTGAGTGCTTTTGTGATACTGATCATGGTGGTTCAAAGGCCACAAGAAGATCCACTACAGGATATTGCATCTTTGTGGGAGGAAATTTGGTGTCCTGGAGGAGTAAGAAGCAGAATATGGTGTCACGATCAAGTGTAGAGGCAGAATATAGAGCTATGGCACAATCTGTGTGTGAGATAGTCTGGATACATCAATTACTGAAGGAGGTTGGTCTTAAAACCTCGTTACCAGCAAAACTGTGGTGCGACAATAAAGCAGCCTTACACATAGCTTCTAATTTGGTATTCCGTGAACGTACAAAACACATTGAGATTGATTGTCATTTTGTTCGGGATAAGCTCAAGGAAAACTTCATCTCAACAGGACACGTGAGATCCAGTGATCAGTTGGGTGATCTCCTTACTAAGGCTTTGAATGGGGTTTGGGTTGACTATCTTTGTAACAAGTTGGGCATGATTGACATCTATGCTCCAACTTGAGGGGGAGTGTAAATATATGTAGATATATTGTAATTAGTATAGAATCAAATCAGATATCATAGGATATTATACGATAGGATATTATCTCCTATTAATGAGCCATTAATGCCTAGGGCTCCTCTCTTGTGTATATAATCTCCCTTTCTAATCATGAATACACATGGAAAATATATTTCATTGCTCTTTAGTCAATACCAAAACCCTCATACAGGTATACTTTTTTTCTCCAATTATAATACCTTCATAAACAGAGTATGAAATCTATGTATGTGTGAAGCTGATACAAAGTTCATTTTAACAGGTCCATCAAAAAAGATAATACTCACTGGTAAGGATTCTTCAGCCAATGGTTCATCATTTCACATATAAAGTAAACACAAAAGTTCCCAAATCAATTTAATACATATTGTATATGACGCTGTATTTGCAGGTGAAATCCTAGGCCCGTTTCTGCTCATATTTGTTGGATTTGTTGCTTATTGGGTCTATGCAGCTAGCCTGGAGAGGCAGGGTTACAAAAACATTAAACAGTTTTTGGAGGATTACAAAGCACTTAGGCCTGCTAGATATTCCTATGCAGATATAAAGAGGATCACTAATTAGTTCAAGGATGAACTTGGACACGGAGCTTACAGAACTGTCTTTAAAGGGAAGCTATCTAATGAAATTCAGGTGGCTGTGAAGCTTCTCAACACTTCTACTGGGAATGGACAAGAGTTCATCAATGAAATGGAGACCGTGTGTCAAATTCACCATGTCAATGTGGCTCGCTTGGTTGGCTACTGTGCGGATGGTTTCAAACGAGCTTTGGTTTATGAATTTTTACCCAATGGTTCATTGTAGAAATTCATAACTTCAGCTGATAGGAAGGACCTTTTCCTGGGATGGGGAAAGCTTCATGATATTGCTCTTGGCATAGCCAAAGGAATTGAGTACCTTCATGAAGATTGTGACAGACAGATCCCCCACTTTGATATCAAACCTCACAACATTCTTTTAGACGACAAATTCACTCCAAAAATATCTGATTTCGGTTTGGCCAAACTCTGTTCTAAGGATCAAAGCATTGTGTCAATGACAACAGCTAGGGGCACCTTGGGCTATATTGCACTGGAGATATTTTCTTGGAACTTTGGCAATGTATCTTATAAATCAGATGTTTATAGCTATGGAATGTTACTGCTTGAAATGGTTGGAGGAAGGAAAATCACAGACGTCACAGAAGAAAATGGTGAGAAAGTTTACTACCCACAATGGATTTATAATCTTCTAGAGAACAATGAAGACATACAAATCCATATAGAAGGAGAGGAGGACACTAAAATTGCAAGGAAGCTATCCATTATTGGACTTTGGTGCATTCAGTGGCATCCAGCAAACCGTCCAACCATGAAAAATGTGGTTCAAATGTTGGAAGGGGACGATGAAAAGCTAATCATGCCTCCTAATCCTTTTGGTTCTTCACATGCAATTAGAACAAGGGCTGTTAATGGAGTAAGGCGAATGCAACCAGAGTTATCTGCCATTTCAGAAATAGAGTGCAGTTGAGACGGTTATAATGAGCTGTGTTAGACATAAATTTGTGTTTAGGTTGGTAGTCTTTCCTTCTTGTGGCATAAAGTTCAAAATAGGATCATAGATAGTTATCCATGAAAAGATTTCTGAACAATATAAATATGCAAGTTCAACGTTTTTGCCAGTGGCCATAACCAACTTGAAAAAATTGTCGTCCAGTATTTCCTAGCTACATGGTTCACTAAATCTATATATCATAATCTAAGTTCTTTAAAGAATTGTATCCTTTTGAATAAAATGGTTAGAAGAGAAACTAAATCTATATATCATATGCGAATGGCTTCCCTATTCTGAAGCTTGGCTCACTCTTCACGAACCCATTTTTGGAAGCTTGGACTATCTATGTTGAGGAACTCAAATTATGTCAAATATAACTGAAATTCTTCTCGAAGTGTATACAAAGAAAGCTTAATATTTTAAATCTCTACAGAAAGGGTTATTGAGATGTGGGAGACAATGGTAAGAGTGACACAATAAAAATAGAAATGAGATTTACTTTTACTTTTTTATGAATTTGTATTAGAATTTTACAGTAAAGAATTTTTAAAGAAATACAGTCAATGGAACTTTGTGTGTGCAGTGGCCAATAAAAAATCGTTTTTTGAAGTCTTCATGGACTTTATGAGAGTTTTATTGTAAAAAAATTTTAAAAAAGAATATAGTCGCTTTCCAACTTTTGAAAATTTGCCTAATTCAATTCTATATAATTTATATAAAGCTTGACCAGGACAGATTTTGGGTGGCTGCCAGTCAGTCATTGATGATTGAAGATATTATTAATAACTGTTGACTTGGAGTCAATGCCTTGTGCAATTCCACTACCATCACCTCTTAATAAATGCCGCGAGAATTTTCAACGGAGATGAAGAACATGATGATGATATGAGGAATTTTGCTTCATTCTAGAACTATATATAATTAAAGGAATATGAATTAAATAGAAAAATTGAATTTATATAGTCCAATAAATATTAATTACAAGAAAACTACAGTTGCAATGGTTTCTAGGAAAAATTGGTGAGAAGTAAAATATTTATCACCCAAAGTATTTGAAATTTATTTAAAGATATAGGTGCAACTCATTACAACTCTTTTAATAAGTACTAAAAGAGATACGTATTGCATATAGCTGAAGAAAAATTACGCTCATATGTTGAAGATGAGTTACGCCTACTGAATTCAAGCCATTTTAATCAAAATCTTCTCAAATAAGTAACTTTTCAGCAAATTTTGCTTGCTTCTATTTAATTTCTCATATTTATTAAAAGGAAAATATATATATTATACTTCTGATATTTTTTTTAGTCAGATTATACTATTCTACAATTATCGGCAAGAATTGATGTTTCGGTAACGATTGATTGGATGGAACCATAAGGAGATGGAAATTAATTTTTTTTTAAAAAGCCAAATTATATTGACTCCAGGTCAACCACAATTGATGTGCTTTACTACCACTGAATTCATTATTGGCGACAAACTGAAAACAAAGTGATAAGAAAGATGGACCGCGCAGCTTCTAGGAAAGAGTGACAGTGACTATACATGGAAACCCCCCCCCCAAATATTACCCCAAAAAAAATGTATAATCCTCTGCCCTAACTATAAAATCTAATTTGTAGCATTGTAATACAAACTAGATTTTATAATTAGGATAGGAAATAATATTAAATTTGAAACTTAGTTTTATCCTCCCTAACTCGTTTTTTCTCATTCAAATCTACTGGATTCCTTACATCATCATGCAAGTTGTATAAACTATGAATTGGAGTTCTGCTAAGCAGCAAATTCTTTTTAAAAATGCATAACTGTAGAGAAAACTTGTTAATTTAAATTTCCATATACTGAAGAAATAGCTATGTCATAAAAAGAGCATGTAAAAACGTGGCAACATAAAAATTTCATTATTTACCAGGACAACAACCTTCTTCCAACAATAACCTACATGTAATCCAGTAAATCAGAGTATTTAAGAAAACATTAAAGATACTAACCCTAATACTAGTTTTACTTATTTGCAAGTAGCTTAATAGAAACACAAATTGTCAATAACAACAACATTTTTTTCTGAAATCTCTCACCAAGTTACATAAATTTAGGGAGGAAGAGCCTCTTGAAGCTCCATTTCTCCCTCAAGCATCTCTAACACATTCTTCATCGAGGGTCGATCATTAGGATACATCTGTATGCAATGTGAAGCTATTATCATCATCTTTTTTGCAATTCCTCTTTCCTCATCTGAGATATTGCTCCCCTCTATTGATTCCTCAAATTGATCATAAACCCATTTAGCAAAATAGGTCTGCCAGGAATGCTCAATGACATTCGAGTTCTTCCTTCTGCCAGCCATTTCCATCAATAGCATCCCAAAACTATAAACATCAGCTTTGTGTGATATTCCTCCAATGTTCTTGTACAAGAATTCAGGAGCCATGTATCCAAATGTTCCTCTTGCATTTGTCAGAGACACAATACTATTATCTAATGGGTACAACTTAGCTAATCCGAAATCTGAAATCTTTGGATTAAAATTTTCATCAAGAAGGATATTGTGAGGTTTGATATCAAAGTGTAGAATTTGCATATCACATCCTCGATGTAAATACTCAATTCCTCGAGCAATCCCAAGAGAAATGTTAAATATTTTCTCGTAATTGATGGGCGTGTTGCTTTGTCTCTCCAAGAATATGTACTTGTCAAGTGATCCATTAGGCATAAATTCATAAACAAGAGCTCGCTTACTTCTTTCAGTGCAGAATCCAATCAGCTGCACCACATTGACATGATGAATCCTGCCAATAGTGGCAACTTCACTAATGAAATCTTGTGCATTATTGGCTTTGGACTTTGTCAGTAACTTGACGGCTACATCGCGATTGCTTCGAAGCTTACCTTTATACACATAACCGTAGCCTCCCTCGCCCAACTTGTGTTTGAAGCCATTGGTCATTTTCTTGATCTCTGAGTAAGAGTACTTGATGGGCATCAGATTACTGTTATTTCGGAGGAAGTCCTCAACATTGTCATAATAAGATTGATGCCTTCTTCTCCATCGGATAATCAAGAATATTAAAGCACAAGGGGCACCCAGTGCAAATTTAGCTGCAGACCAGAGAATTGCTGTACACAAGATTTCAACAATAATAATCAGCATTGAATAAGTTCTTCCTATATAATACAGACTTATATGATCAGATATATGCCTTCATAGCATGGATCCAAGCTGAATGTTTGAGTGAAAAGGCATTTTAATTTTTTTATATTATATATGGAATGTGTACTTTTTGTCCTGGTATGTAACACGATAGTTTTGGACTTGAATCTATGTTATATATGTTTCTGTTCTTACTCATCATAAATTCCAATTTGAAAAGAAACAAGAACAGACGTTCAAGCGTGCCCATATTATGGCCTCAAAGGAGACAATCCTACTTTCACAAAATAAAATAAAGAATAGGAAAAATATCCAACGGATGTTTTTCTTCTGTAACTGTTAAGGGTTTCTGGTTCAAACGAATAAGAAATCTCAAAAAGTGTGAGAAATGAAATTAAAGGACAGGGCGCTCACCTATAACCACCACTTGCCCCATAGCCAAGGCTGCGTTATTAAAATTCAAAACAGAAGTGTCAATTACAATTAGATATCATCATGAAAAATATATAATTGTGTTCAATATTTTCTTCTCAAGAATGCCATGATAACTATCCGTAAAGTTCACCTGAAATATCTGCAAGTCGGAGCGGACGATGACAAAGAACCATATTGGTGGCATTATCAAACCAGCAGCCAGGTTCCTCTGATCCTTCCCAAACTCCACAACGATTTGGGCGCCATTTGATGTGAATCCCCATCACCTCTTGGCTCTGAACGTGTGGATATGAACAATTCTCATTACACGTCATTGGTCCCCAAGGCACCATCTTCACCATCAAATCTACTTTGCAAGACTCTGGCACATCAGTTGAATCCCGCGTCAACACATAAGAATGAAGTGTTTCCGGCTCTTCATTTGTACAAGGCGCCATAATATCCCAACACAGATCAGGTGAGAGTGGATTTTGGCAGCTGACAAACACTAATCCACCCTCATGATAATCGTATTTTTGGGCTCTTAGTTCTTCCTTTTTGGCTGTGAAAGCATGGCTGAAGTTGCTGTATGTGAGAGAAGACTGACGAGAGATCGCAGGGCATTTGTTGTTGTCGATTCCAGCGGTGATGTATTGGAGAGTGTTGGAGTCATTGGCATAAATGGCCTCTGCTAAGTGCCTCCCATAGTTTATGTACAACACACTTCTTTTGTTCTCGCAGCGTAGTTCGTAACTGGGGTCGTGGCAATTGCTGGAATAAGAGTGTGTATTTGTGGAGACGTTGAACACATATCCGCAGGATTCGCTAAATGATTCCATGTAGAGAGGTCTATTCAAACAGTATAAAGCTAGAGCAAAGGCAAGGAAGATGATTATGAAGGTTTCCTTTATCATTTTGAAGGAAGAAACAAGCTAGTTAGTTTACAAGCGGAGGGCTGGATCCGTGCATCCACATACCTGCTTGCAATATCAAATAATGCACTCATCATCCCCTTTGTGATGAAGGTTCTTTTTAGAACCTTTTAGATTAAATCTAATAATTTATTTGAAAGATTAATTATGATAGAAAAAAAGAAATCTTAAAATTTTAAATCGCTATTATGATCAAAAGAAATAAACTTATGTTACAAGCAACATCGATTGCTAACTTGGGTCTTAGACTTCTAAAGTTCAGAAATATCATTTAACCAGTAGCTCAAACCAAACTTATATTTTCAAATATAAGAGCCGATAAATCATTTTAATATAAGCTATGGAGCCCATCAATCAAAAGTTAACACTTTTCAAAGAGTGTCACATGCAGAGTCTGAAATGTCTCTGGCCTTCTAGCGGTATTATCATACCAGATAGTAGCAATTAAAAGTATTAGTTTATAACATTAGAGTAGATGAGCCCTATGTGGCAATATATAACAAATCAACATATAGAACAAAAGTAGGGAGGCTATACAAGCTATAACAGCACACTATAGCGCACTATGCCTTTGGAGTCTTTCCTGATGGGCCACTACTTGAACTATCACCTGAAGATAGTAAAAATCATGGGGCGAGACAAACTTCTCAGTAACCAACTTTCCAACTCATCATACAAACTAACATGTGCTTATGAGGTGTCAAGTTAGACAATTATTGAATCTCAACATATATATATCAATGGAAATATAAAATATGTATATTCAAATAATCTCAATCATCTAAACTCTCATTACGGGGGTTAACACACAAGCTACATAAGTCTATCCCTCACTATAGGGTGATCAATCAGACATATAGGCCTGTCCTACACTTTAGGGGATGAATAAAAAGTTGCAAAGTTCTATCTCTTACTCTGGGAACGAAGGAAACTAACCAATGTGCACCAAAGGTGGCCTTATCACGTGATAGGATAGGATTCAATCCAAAATCCAAATAACAACCAATCATTCATAATATAACAAAAAATGTCTCAATCTTTTCTCAATATAATCCATAAGATACAACATCATATATTCTTTTCAAACTTTTCGATCAAAATTCGAAAAATCCCATAAGACAATTTTCATAGCTCAAAAGGTACACCATATCTATGTGAATCATAAATAAAATATCATTATTCTAAAATAGCAAAATACTCACAAATAACATATTAGCACATATAACAAGTGAAAAGTGGTTACCTCTTGCCAAAACAATAAAAAGAATTACCACAAGATCAATCCTTTGCTCAACCAATAATTAATCTACACAATTAATATAACCACATATTAATATAAGCTAATATTAGTTAAATTTCTAATTTAATTGAATTTGTATTCTAAATTCCTGCAACTCTCAAAACCCAAAATTAAGTATTTTACAGATAACTTAAATTTTCTAACAAGCCAAATTATTTATTTACAAACTCCAAATTATTTAATTTAATAAAAAAGATTTTTTTTCAAAATTTTCAAATATAAAATTAGTATGTTCTAACTTCTAAAAATCTCATTTTAAATTTAAACCTCAAAATCAAACCATCAAAAATTCAATAATACTTCAAATATTTATAAATAAATAATCTAATCAAAACTTTAATGGTATAAATATCATATATATATTTCCATAAATAATAAAATTTTTAGCTAAAATAATTATTTTAAAACCTCCAGTCACCCAATAAATAAAACTAAACTGATTAAAATCTTAATAATATGTTAAAGACCTCAAGTAAATTATTTGACTTAATTTTAATCGATAAACATATGATATAAATCATATATAACAGATTTTTCAACTAGAAAAATTAATTTAAGTACTAAAAGCCAACAAATGGACAAAATTAAACTGATTAATATTAACAAGTCACTTACTTCTAAATTTTTATAGTCATATATTACCAAAACTCAAAATTTATCCCATATATAAGTCTTAAAATTTTCTCTAATTACTATAGTAATAATACTATTAGGAAGCGTAAAATATATGGAAAATATTTTTAAAGAAAGTTTGATGAAAAGAAATAATTTCATATACCTAAATTATCTTCAAAATTTATCTTCTTTTTCACAACGATTACTGATCCGGCTGCTTGCCCTTTCCCGCACCTTTTCTCTCTTTCTCCCTTGCTCTCTCTTTCTTTCTTTCTCTTTCCCTCACCCTCCTTTTATATCTAACATTCACCTGCTCCTCTATTTTTTTTCTTAACGCATTAACTCTTCTCCCCAACCATCCATCCCCCCCCCCCCCCGGTTCAAATTGAATGCTGCCTTCTTTTCCACCGAATTCGGTGGAAAAGGTGGTGTTTTTTTATAAAAATAATAATAAATTATTATTATAATAAATAATAGTAAAATATTATTATTATTTTTTGAAATTTCTTTTTTACTAAATCCTAAAATAAAATTTATGATATTACACCCTGGCTCTTTAATTTTGGGCCATTATATCATATTTGTCAATAAAGTAGTGAGGGGTGCCTACAATAACTAATACTACTCCGGTCCTTAAGATAAGAAAAGATAGACAATAGATTTATTTTAGTCCTAAATATATCACTTTGCCTCTTAAATTTATAATTTTTTACACATATCGATTAAGGGGCCCTGAGTGAAGAGTTAGTTCCAATTCACATAATTAGCTAAATGGGGTAGTTTAGAGAAATCAAAATACATTTGTTATAAATAACTAACTAAACTAATGAATTATCTTAATATTCATAAATTAATTATTTAGCTCTAACATTAAGAACTGAAGAACTGGAATAATGCCGAGCTTTCTTCTTTTGTGAAATTTAATTAAAAATATAAATAAGATCTATTTTTATTCTATTTCTTAATGTTCACAGGAATTGTATATAAAATGTGAAAAAAATAGTTAGTCCACGTTTTGAGAATTTGTTTTATTCTTTTAGGTCTCTCTGGATTTAAAATGTTTATGTGAAAAACTGGAATTAAAAAAATAGAGTGACTCCGAGTTTTCAAAATTTGTCCAAGTCAATACAAGCGGCTTGACCCTAATTTTGGCTGACTTTAGTCATTCTGCAATTGATAAGCAAAGAAATCAACAACGGTTGACTTGAAGTCAATGCCTTATCCCAATCCTCCCCCAGCACCACTCATTAATGATGTGAGTATTTTGTTTCATTCCAGCAGCTCCATAAAATGAATATAATTTTTTCTTTTTAAAAAAATGAATACGTATTGAATCGAAACAAATACCTAGATTGAATTAATTGAACTAAAAATGTATTAAATATCAATTTTTATCCTTTATAAATATGATTTGTTTACGTTTATTTATAGATATTTTTATTATTCAATATTATAATAATATTTTAAAAGATATTAAATCCAACTAGTGAATGTTAATATGATGATGAAGAAAACAAATGGAGAGGAAATGGAAATAGAGGTTAGTGGAGACATTTTTCTTTAAGAAAGAACTGACATTCCTTTGAATTAAAAATCGCAAACTAGTAATTTGTGAAAAGTGCAGATGTAAATAGGAAATAAACTGGCTCAGTTGTACTAAAGAAATTGTAAGGTTTCATGGAGTATTAAAGAATTGTATTAAACCAAGAACTAAGATTCACTTCAAAGTTTTGGGGGTCTTTGAAAGATGCTATAGTTGCAAATTTGAGTTTTCGAATATCTGCCTCCTTATTGATTCCCAGGATTCAAAGTGTAATCGGAATGTATGTGCATTTGTC